GTGCGCTTGGTGCGAGGAAGCCGCGCCGTGGGGCGGGGAGAGGGGCAGGGCCAAGTCGCTCTGGGACAGCAGGGTCCCCGCAAGTAGTCGCCCCCACACACGGTGACATCATCAGCTCCACGACCCCTCTCCTCCATCCGCGCTGGAAACGCCCTCCGCCCCTCGCACAGGCCGGGTGAAGGGCCTCGCGGGCCGCGGACCCCCACTTACCTGTGGCCCGGATCCCACCCGCACACCTGCGGCGCCTCACGCTGAGGAGCTGGAACCTCCGCGGCCACCTGCGCGCACCCACCCGGATCCACTAGGGCCGAAACCACTTCCGGTCCTGCGACGGGCTCGGGGGGACGTCATCCCCGCCGGGGTGAGCAAGTGGGCGGCGCCATCTTGTACGGAAGCTGCTGGGGCAGCGCTTGCCGTACCAGTTTCTTCACTGGGGAACAAAGGGTCGGTTACAATTCGAAAAGCTTATAACGACTCTTGAGAAACATGGTGTTTTCTTTTTGTTTCCAGGGTGAAATTTTTTTTCTGGAACCCTCACAAATGCCATAGGGAAACATCTAATTATCATTACTAATTAGCTCCAGGAGTGTTTTTCTGCTGCATTAATTTACTTAACTGTTAAATAATGAAGGTAAATAGGAGGGACACTTGTTTAAATAATGTATTACTCATTAGCAGTGTATTTTGTACTATAGCCATTATAATAATTTATGCCTTCTTTTATAACAACCACAATACCTTCCGTTTATATTGAAAATAGTTCACTCAACCAGTCTTTATCAGCAATAAAGTATGTGCTGCAGCTGGTATGTGCTGTGTCAGAGAATATGTAAATCAGAAGGAGAAATGAGGTGTGCATAAACAATATAAAGTATACTAATAGCTGCCATTGGTTGCGTATGTAATCACAGTGTACTAGGAACTTTGCATATTTTATCTCACATAATCTTCATAATAACCTAGTAAAGCAGTACTGTTTTTAGTGCCATTTTGCATAAAATTAAGAAGGTTAAGTAAATTTCTCAAGGCAACAAGTGAGCATTGGAGCTGGGCATCAAACCTCAGTGCGTCTGAGTGCAAAGCTTGTTGCCCTCGGCCGCTGCGGTCCATCCCCTCCAGCACAGGAAGAAGGCTCTAAGTTCCATTAGATACGTAACCATAAAGGGGAAATTTCTGGCAGATGTAGGGGATTAACTCCCTCGTTTTAAAGAGTAAATGCAAATAATTAAAACCGCAATGAGACACCATTACATACTCACCAGAAAGCCTAAAACGAAAAAACAAAAACAAAAATCACAGTATAGATCAAGTATTGGCAAGGTTGTGGGGCAACTGGAACTGTAATATGCTGCTGAAGGGAACATAAATTGGCACAATCCCTTTGTTGAAATGTTTGGCAGTGTCAGCTAAAGCTGAATAAATGCAAGCCCTTGTCCCCAGTTTCACTCCTAGGTATGTACTCAACAGAAAAGTGTCCATATGTTCAGTAAAAGAACATGTATAAAAAAGGTCACACCCATACTTTGTACTAATCCTAAACTGGAAACACCCAAATAGCCATGCTGTTAGAAGTCAAAGTGGTCATTAGCCTTGGTGGAGCAATCACTGGAGGAGAACATGGGAGGTTCATGAAGTGCTGGTAGTGTTCTATTACTTAGTCTGAGTGCTGGTTTACATGTATTTCAGGAGGCATATTTGTGGTCACTTTTCTGAATGCATATATACTTCAATAAAAAAATGTTGCCCTAACCAGTTTGGCTCAGTGGATAGAGCGTCAGCCTGCGGACTCAAGGGTCCCAGGTTTGATTCTGGTCAAGGGCATGTACCTTGGTTGCGGGCACATCCCCAGTAGGGAGTGTGCAGGAGGCAGCTGATTGATGTTTCTCTCTCATCGATGTTTCTAACTCTCTATCCCTCTCCCTTCCTCTCTGTAAAAAATCAATAAAATATATATATTTTTAAAAATGTTAATGCCCTGGCCGGGTGACTCAGTTGGAGCGTCGTCCCATACACCAAAAAGTTGTAGGTTCTATCCCCAGTCAGGGCACATACCTAGGTTGCAGCCCCGATCCCTGGTGTTTCTCACTCATGTTGATGATTCTGTTTCTCTCCCTCTCCCTCTCCCTCTCTCTGTCTCTCTCTAAATCAGGTGTGGGGAACCTTTTTTCTGCCAAGGGCCATTTGGATATTTATAACATCACTAGAGGCCCAGTGCTGGGGTCCAGCCCCAGTGGACCCCAGCAGCCCAGTGCATGAAATTCATGCATGGGTAGAGTACCTAGGCCTGGCTGGTGATCAGGGCTGATCAGGGCCATCCAGCTGCCGGCTGGGGCCTTCCTTCATTCCACGCCGCCCCCTGGTGGTCAGCACATGTCATAGGAAGTGATCGGTCTTCCCGTCCAACTCCCACAGGGACAATTTGCACAGGCTTTTATATATATAGATTTGCGTGCCATACAAAAATATCTATTTAAAAATTAGCCTGCTGTATTTGGTCAAACATTTAATTAACTCACCCTTAATGCCTTGGCAGGGCCAGACCAAATGATTTCATGGGCCTTATACAGCCTGCAGGCCAGACATTCCAAACCCCTGTTGTAAATCAGTAAAAACATATCCTTGTGTGAGGATTTTTTTAAAATACTAAAACAAGTGTTTAATGAAATTAAAGGAGTGTCAAGTTTATAAAACCAATGGGAAAAAAGATCAGGAGAGAAGATAATAGCAGCAAACAAATGCCAATATAATTGTAGAAGATAGATTAGAATGGCAAAATATTGACGTGTGAGGGATCCCATAATGAACTGTCTGGGTCCATAAGCAATCATCCTACATTGAAAACCCAGTCAACAAGGCTCATCTGTGCATAAAGAATTTCCAATCAGCTTTTTAATACTTCAGTCTTTGTCTTAGTCCATTTAGGCTTTTATAACAAAATACCATTGACTAAGTGGCTTATAAACAACAGAAGTTGGCTTATAAACAGAAGTTTATTTCTTACAGTTCTGGAGGCTAGGAAGTCCATGATCAAGGCGCCAACAGGTTTATTGCCTGGTAAGTGGCTGCCTCCTGGTTTATAGACATCTGTCTTTTTCATTGTGTCCTCACTTGGCCAAAAGAGTTGTGAACTCTGTTGGGCCTCTTTTATAAGGCGCTAATCCCATTCATAAGGGCTCCACCCTCATGACTTAATCACCTCCCAAAGCCCCTGCCTTATGATACCATTATATTGGAGTTAGTTTACAACATATGAATTTTGAGAGGACATAAAACATTCAGTGTATAGCACCCTTAAATATGAAGATATCCAAGAATTGTCAATCATTGCAGGAATGCCTTCAATACTATTAACATTTTCTTTTTTAAAAATTATTTATTTATTTTAATACATTTTATTGCTTTTACAGAGAGGAAGGGAGAAGAATAGAGAGTTAAAAACTTTGATGAGAGAGAAACATCACGCCCCTTACTGGGAATCGAGTTGCAACCAAGCTACATGCTCTTGACCAGAATCAAACCCGGGACCCTTCAGTCCGCAGGCCAACACTCTATCCACTGAGCCAAACCAGCTAGGGCTATTAACATTTTCAAAGGAACATATATAGATCTCCACCCAGCATTTTGAGATCACAGCTATTTTTCAAACATACCAGGAAGATTTAAGAAAATTAATTTTTATTTAGGCCATTGTGCAACTTCCTACAAATTGGGGGGGAAATGCTATCATACAGATCTCATTCTCTAACCATATTAAAATTAAGTTAGAAATCAATAATAAAGTTATTATTTTTAGAACTCCATATATTTGGAGATTTAAAAAAACAACTGCAAGATCAAAGAAGAAATCTCAATGGAAATTTATATTAGATTTGAGAGGTAATAAAAATACTATATATGTGAGATTTATAGGTATAGGTAAATTAATAATCTATGATTTGTTATCCAGACTATACAAAGAACTTTTGGAAACTCAACAACCCAATTAAAAATGAATGAGAGACCTGAATAGACACTTCACCAAAAAAGATATGTGATATCCAAATAAGCACATGGAAAGATGTTCAACATTACATGTTATTAGGGAATTGCAAATTAAAACAACAATGAGATCAGAATTTCACTAAAGTAACTAAATCCTATTAGAATAGTGAAAATCTGCCCTAATCGGTTTGGCTCAGTGGATAGAGCGTTGGCCTGTGGACTGAAAGGTCCCAGGCTCAATTCCGGTCAAGGGCATGTACCTTGGTTTCGGGCACATCCCCAGGAGGAGGTGTGCGGGAGGCAGCTGATTGATGTTTCTCTCTCATCAATGTTTCTGACTCTCTATCTCTCTCCCTTTCTCTCTGTAAAAAAATCAATAAAATATATATTTTTTTAAAAATAGTGAAAATCTAAACACTGACAACACCAAATGCTAAGGATATGGAGCAACAGGAACACTCATTCATTGCTTGTGGGAATGCAAAATGGTAGTCACTTCTGAAGATATTTTGTCAGTTTCATACAAAATTAAATATAGTTTTACCATACAACCCAGCAATCATGCTCCTAGATATTCACTCAAATGAGTTGAAAATAAAAACCTACACACAAATGTTTAAAGCAGCTTCAGTCATAAATTGAAAGTAACCAAGATGTCCTTCAATAGATGAATGGATAATCAAACTTTGGTACATCCATACAATGGAATATTATTCAGTGACTAGAGGCCCAATTCATGAAATTCGTGCAAGGGACTCGCCCCCGTGCGGCTGCTGCCTTAGCCCCTGCCACCTAGGCTTCATCCGGAAGATCGTCCAGTCTAATTAGCATATTACACTTTTATTACTATACATAAGATAATGAGCTATTAAGCCACAGTAAGACATGGAGGAAACTTAAATGCATATTGCTAAGTCAGTGGTTCTCAACCTTCTGGCCCTTTAAATACAGTTCCTCATGTTGTGACCCAACCATAAAATTATTTTCATTGCTACTTCATAACTGTAATGTTGCTACTGTTATGAATCGTAATGTAAATATCTGATATGCAGGATGGTCTTAGGCGACCCCTGTGAAAGGGTCGTTCGACCGCCAAAGGGGTCGCGACCCACGGATTGAGAACTGCTGTGCTAAGTGAAAGAAACCAGTCTGAGAAGGGTATATTGTATGATTCCAACTATATGACATTCTGGAAAAGGGAAAAGTATGGTGACAGTGAAAAGATCATTGGGCCCTGATCAGTGTGGCTCAGTTGGTTGGGTGTCATCCCAATGCACTGAAAGGTTGCCAGTTCGAATCCCTGTAAAGGCACATGCCCAGGTTTCAGTTAGATCCCTGTGTTGGGGGGTGTGCAGAAAGCAGCCACTCTCACACCAATGCTTCTCTCTCTCTCTCTCTCTCTCTCTCTCTCTCTCTCTCCTCTCTCCCTCCCTCCCTCCCTCCCTCCCCCTTTTCTTTCCTCTCTCTCTCTTTAAAAAAAAATCAATAAAAAATCTTTTACAAGAAAATTGTCTTTCTCTTTAAAAAAAAGATCAGGGGTTCCTTTGGAGGATTTTTAGGGCAGTGAAACTATTCTGTATGATACTGTAGTAATGGATACATGATGCATGTGTCAAAACCCATAGAACTCTGCAAAGCGAGAAAACCTTAAAAATAAACTGTAGACTTCAGTGGGTAATAATGTATCAATATTAACAAAGATCACACTGTGTTAATAATAAGGGAAACTGTATAAGCGTGGTAGGGAGGTGTATGGGAACTCTCTGTACTTCCTGTTAAAATTTTCTGTAAACCTCAAATTGCTCTAGAAACAAAATCAATTAATTTTTTTTAAAAAAAAGATCATACTGTGAACTGCTTGATTTATCTATAAATGCATTGTGCATTTATTCACTGATTCTAAGGGCAACTTCATGACAAGCATTGGGAAATCATGTACAGAAAATTCAAAAGGAACTGTGGCAGGGAGTGGCCTACCTCATATCCATCCTCCCCTTATGCTCAATAACAGAAGGCAGGAGCATTTTAAAATTGCACTTAAAAAAACATTTTGTCTCCATTGGGAATGAGTATGACCATGTCACTTAAGTTCTGGCCAATGAGGTGTAACTAAAACTTTTTGCATTGGACTTAGGATAAAGTTCCAAAAAAAAGTGCAGACAACTACCACAGGGGTGTTTGTTTTTTGTTTGTTTGTTTGTTTTTTAATATATTTTATTGATTTTTTACAGAGAGCAATGGAGAGGAATAGGGAGTTAGAAACATCGATGAGAGAGAAACATCGATCAGCTACCTCCTGCACACTCCCCACTGAGGATGTGCCCGCAACCAAGGTACATGCCCTTGACCGGAATCGAACCCAGGACCCCTGAGTCCGCAGGCCAATGCTCTCTCCACTGAGCCAAACCGGTCAGGGATCCACAGGGTTTTTTGTGTGTTTTTCTTGTTGTTTTGCCATTTTGTCATTGCCTTTCCATTCGTTTCATGCTAAAACTAGGGCCTGACTGCAGTGGCACCTTGACGATGGAGCCAAAGGCTTAGAAAGATAGAATGGAGAAGTAAAAAAGCCTGGATCCTTTATTCCTCCTGTCGTTTTCATATTAACACTGAACTACCTAATTCTGGACTTTTTTTACATGAGAAAATAAACTAATTATATTTTTGTTAATCCTCATCAGAGGATATTTTTCCATTAATTTTTAGAGAGAGTGGCAGGGAAGGTGAGAGACAGAGAGAAGCATGGATGAAAGAGAGAGACATCCATTGAT